GACTTCAGCACAGCTTTCTTGCAGGGCAGCCTGCACGAGGAGATCTGGCTGCGCCGCCCACCTGGCTTCACTGGGTCGTTTCCTCCTGGTACCCAGTGGAGCCTCCGGCGGCCAGTCTACGGTCTCCGCCAGGCGCCCCGTGAGTGGCACGACACACTGAGGACTACACTTGCGGCTCTTGGCTTTGCTCCTTCTACTGCCGACCCGTCGTTGTTTCTGCGCACCGACACCTCTTTGCCGCCGTTCTACATCCTCGTGTACGTCGACGACTTGGTCTTTGCCACTTCTGACACTGGTGGACTCGCCCACGTGAAGTCCGAGCTGCAGAAGAGACACACGTGCACAGACCTGGGTGAACTGCGCAGCTACCTTGGCTTGCAGATCACCCGGGACAGAGCACAGCGCACCATTACCCTGACTCAGTCACACATGGTGCAGCAGGTCCTTCAGCGCTTCGACTTCACGTACTCCTCGCCTCAGGCCACTCCTCTGTCTACTCGCCACTCGCTCTCAGCTCTGCCTTCAGATGAGTCCGTAGAGCCGAGTGGCCCGTACCCAGAGCTTGTTGGCTGCCTCATGTACCTGATGACCTGCACTCGACCTGAACTTGCATACCCTCTTAGCATCTTGGCACGCTATGTTGCTCCTGGGAGACACCGACCAGAGCACATGGCTGCAGCGAAGAGGGTGTTGCGCTACTTGTGCAGTACGTCGGGCATGGGGCTAGTGCTTGGAGGGCGGCGTTCAGTGGTCCTCACAGGTCACGCAGACGCTTCTTGGGCTGACGACCAGGCTACGCAGCGGTCGTCACAGGGTTACACCTTCAGCCTTGGTTCCGGCTCTGTTTCGTGGCGGTCTATCCGCTCGTCTTCTGTTCTCGGCTCCAGCTGTGAGGCTGAGATCTATGCGGGGGCCATGGCTGCACAGGAGCTACGCTGGCTCACCTACCTGCTGACTGACCTAGGAGAGCCGCCTCGTTCTCCTCCAGTTCTGTACGTAGACAACAAGGCCATGCTGGCCTTGTGTCGGGAGCACAGACTGGAGCACAGAACGAAGCACATTGCTCTTCGCTACTTCCTTGCTCGTGAGCTGCAGCAGCGTGGTCAGCTGCGCCTTGCTTATGTGGCCTCTGAGGCCAACACTGCTGATATCTTTACCAAGGCACTTCCGCCTTGTGATCATCAGCGGTGCTGTACGATGCTAGGTCTTGTGCCTACTTGGCCTCACTTGCTGACTTCTTGACCTTGCTTGTTCTGTGATCTTTCTATACCTGCCCTTGCTTGTTTACCTTTATATATGATCTTGCATGTGAACTGGCCTTGTGGCCTTGAACTTGTGCTCGGATTGTGTGGTGACGTTGGGATCCACCCTGAGCTTGCTTTGCTTTGCTTGACTGGTCTTTTGACTGTTGGGCTGAGTGCCCCTTAGGATCTTTGGTAGGGTTAAACTCTGGGTAGAGTGATGTAGTAGCGGAAGCGTTTAAATGAAGTCCTTGAACCACCTTGCGCTGGTATGTGAGGGCAAAGTAAGTTGATTAAAACAAGCAAGTACAAAGGTTTATATAAGAGTACAAAGAATACGAAGAGATATAATTAAACTGTTTTACTGTTGCGGTTCGATACAGTGCGACTCGGGCAACTGCTCAATGTCGAGTCAGTTGTGTGTCCTTGCTGTCGCGCTGCATTTGTCAAGTCAAAGGTCGCTGACCTTTGACTTTCGCGTAACCTCCAGCGGTTACTTCAACCTCCGAGGGTTGACTCGCTGGTGCCTCGATATGCTCTGCTTCGCTTGTGCCTTGGTGTTTCGACACGACAGAGGCGCTTAAGATTGTTTGTTCCCAACACTCCCCTTCGCGTCTGGAGTGTCGCTGCTGGTGACGTGGCTTTGTCCAGTCAGCAGCATGCAGTACTCGAACTTCTGTTTTCCGAGCTTCTTGGTCAAGTAGTCAGCTGCCATCTCGGACGTGGGACAGTAGGATAGTTCAAGTCTCCCCTTCTCAATCTCGTCTTTCACGAAGAAATATCGCAGAGCGATATGCTTCGTTCTGTTCGCGAATCCATTTTTGTTGGCGATGCGAATTGCAGATTGGTTGTCGCAGAACAGAGTGAAGTTGGGTAACTCGGCTAACTTCGCTTCTTCCAGCAGCTCGCGAAGATAGAGTCCTTCCTTGGTGGCTGAGCAGAGTGCAATATATTCTGCTTCAGCTGACGAGAGAGCAATTAATTCCTGCTTGCTCGATTGCCAGGAGATCGGTCCGATAGGTTCGAGGCGGTAGATGTAGCCGGTGCGGGAGCGCCTGTTGTCGGAGTCGCCAGCGTGATCAGCGTCGACGTAGCCGATTAATTTAGTCGGTGTAGTTGTGTTCTTGTAGTAAGTTAGGCCGATCGTTGAGGTACTGACGAAGTAGTGGAGAGCGCGGTCGAGCTCCGCCAGGTGTTCTGCTTCAGGCTTCTTGAGGTAGGTGGCGAGCTGGCTTGCGGAGTATGAGAGGTCGGGGCGGTAGGTGACAGCTGCGAAGAGAAGGCATCCTAGCTTTCTCTGGTAGTCGCGTATCCCGGCGGATTTGAGTAGAGAGGATCCTTCCTTGTGGTTTCCTGTCGCGTAGCGGTAGGGCGTAGAGATGGTGGTAGGTGTGAGCGCGAAGCGTTTGGCGATGGTGTCGGCGTACTTAGCGGCGTTGAGGTAGATCGCGCCTTCTTCTTCCCGAATGTTCAAGCCGAGGTACTGTGTGACGGTAGAGGAGACCGTGAGTGTGAGGTCCCTCTGTAGCTCCCCTTCGAACCAGGTGGTGATGTCGTCAGTGGAGCCGATGTAGAGTAGGTCGTCTACGTAGACGATCAGCAGAATGTAGTCGGTGTCTTTAGTGAGTCGGTGCATTCCTTGGTCGTGAGGTAGTTGGCGGAATCCGATGCGAATGAGGCGAGCGTGTAGGTACTGTTGCCATAGCCGCGGAGCTTGCTTGATCCCGTAAAGTGATTTCAGCAGTTGACAGACTTGGTTAGGTTCCCCGTTGGTACCGTGTGGGAGCTCGACGAAGATTTCCACGTCGACAGGTGCGTAGAGGAACGCGTTGGCGACATCGATTTGCCGTAGCTTCCTTTTCTTCATGGCGGCGATCGCGAGGAGGATTCGAAGTGAGGTATGTCGGCTAACCGGGGCGAATGTCTCGGTGAAGTCCCGTCCGTGCTCCTGATCGAATGTTGTTGTTGTTGTTGCTGTTGTTTGATTGCGCAGGTGCTCCTTGCTGATGCTGCTCGTAGAAGGACATGAAGGAGAAGAACTTCTCCATCATGCTTGGATCGAAGCCCGCGCCTTGGTTTGCGGGTGTTTCAGTAGACCCAGCTGCCGGTCTCGTTGTTGTGCCTTCCTCTGTCTGTAGGCCAGAGGCAGGAGGTGGAGTAGGAGTAGTACCAGGAGAGCCGTTGGAGGAGCTCCTCTCCTTTCTGGTAGACATGTCTCTTGGTGTATTAGGTGTTAAGGAGAAATAATTTTAACCCTAACCAGCTCTCATACCATGTTGGGCTGAGTGCCCCTTAGGATCTTTGGTAGGGTTAAACTCTGGGTAGAGTGATGTAGTAGCGGAAGCGTTTAAATGAAGTCCTTGAACCACCTTGCGCTGGTATGTGAGGGCAAAGTAAGTTGATTAAAACAAGCAAGTACAAAGGTTTATATAAGAGTACAAAGAATACGAAGAGATATAATTAAACTGTTTTACTGTTGCGGTTCGATACAGTGCGACTCGGGCAACTGCTCAATGTCGAGTCAGTTGTGTGTCCTTGCTGTCGCGCTGCATTTGTCAAGTCAAAGGTCGCTGACCTTTGACTTTCGTGTAACCTCCAGCGGTTACTTCAACCTCCGAGGGTTGACTCGCTGGTGCCTCGATATGCTCTGCTTCGCTTGTGCCTTGGTGTTTCGACACGACAGAGGCGCTTAAGATTGTTTGTTCCCAACAGTGAGCTCTTGTTCTCCCCCACTTTGCCTATGGGGGTGTGTCAAACTTATATGCTATAGTCTGTGTAGACTGCAGTGGGGTAGACAATATGGGGTACAACACTTTTAGGTTTTCCTACTTGTACCCACCTATTTCCTAGTGCATTCATTCCTCATTCTTTCACAATAATAAAACAAGTTTTTCAGGGGGTGCGCTTATAATCGAGCAGGGGATATAAGCGCCACACGCCAATTAAAAGCGCCAGGCGCTTATCCGAGGGTGGCGCTTATATCCGGGGTATGACGGTAATGTAAAGGCATGTTCCTATGACCCCTTTTTTGGCCAACCTCTTATTAGGCTCACGTCAAAACACACTGCAATTTCCCGAAACTTCGACATTTTCACAAAATTTACCAGGCGAGCCTGACAAGAGGTTTGCATGATAAGAGCGTAGGAACACACCCTAAAGCGCACCCCTTCAAACCACGCGTAATAGGGGCACTCACGGTATATGTAGGAGACGATGCGCTTGCAGTATGTCAAATCATATCTTAAAACAAAATCACACTTTCCGTAGGAGTTTTATTGTCCACAAAATTGCTGAAACTGATCAAAGAAAACAATATTGCACAAAAGTGCAGTACGTAACATCTCATGAGAAACATATATGAGCCACGGAGAGCCATGTACAGAAATATGTCTCAACGCATCGCGATAAGGCCATTTGACGAGTCCCTAGCGAGTTTCGTGCGCTACAAAGTGAAACGCCAGCGTGGCTGTCGTCGTGGCACTTCCGATGATTCACGGAAAAACTTGCTCCGTAACCGCTGGCGATTCGTCATGCGAAGGCTCAGGTAGTGACGGGGGTATTGAAGATTGTCGCCACGTCGCAAGGGCCTTCGCCTTGTGACCTTTCCAGTCGCCAGTGGACCCTGCTTCTCCACATCCTCATCTCGCCAACGCTCATGGCTCTTCAACCTTGTTGACCATCACGTTGCACTGCTTCCCTTCAACTAGGGTTGTGGTTAATACATACCCGAGCCGCGCTCTAAGCCTTGACTTCTGCATCATGGCTTCCCTCGCTTGTCAAACCGCCTCTTTTCAGACAACGCTCGACTCGCGCGCCTCCCTCGCGCCTGCGGCGCTTGATGGTGGTCGCTCGCTGCCGTCACTATCAGCTAGGCTCAGGCCACAGGGTGGCTCGGATGATGCGGGCAGGCTCGGCAGCGGCTTCTGGGGCAAGAAGGTGCGGAGCGTTGCCCCGCCGCGCGCGTCTGCAGTCGCCGCGCCGTCCGCTGGGCGGCTGAGAGTCGTGGCCATGGCGCCGCCCAAGGCTGGCGGGAAAGCCAAGAAAGGTGGGTGGGGGCGTGCGCGGCAACAGAGTGTCGGTGCTGCTTCATCCGTGTCGTGACCGTGGGAGTGGGAATGCGAGTGCGGGTTGGAGTAGCTGGTGACGGCCACGCACGGGAAGTGCGGCTGCCGAGGGCCGTTAAGGGCCGCTGAACCCTGAACCTCGGCGGACCATTGGAGTCGAAGTGCATGGAGCTAGTTTCGGCCATTTAGAGGTTCATAATATGCAGTTTCTGACTCGCACATCCCGCGACCGACGAGCTGCCTCGTTGGCGCCCTTGTCGGACATTCTAACGTTGGCTCGGGTGAGTCGTTGCGCGCCGCAGTGCACTCCGACGTCGCTTCGTTCCGGCGGGTTTACGGCGCGTGGCGTGTGCCGAGAATTAGGGTTAGCGGAACGACGTCGTCGGATACATCGGCAGTCGTACGCTCGGCACAGTTGGCTCGCCGCTGTTAGTCGTCGACTCCCTCACGCCTCACCGCGCAAGGCCGACGTGCAGCAGCCGCTGCTCCACGAGTGTCAGCCGTTGGATGAGTGCATCCAAATGAGTAATCAAATTACTACATACGATTTTTTTCCAAATGACGCGGTAGGACTTGATGCATACCTTAAGCTTGGAACAGCGAGAGCACAAGCCTCTCGGGACACTGCGTGAACAGCGATGGTGTCTCGCGGTGCAGCGCGTGGCACTGCGCGTGGCACTGGGCGTGCTGGCGGAGAGCCGCCTCTTCCGCGCCTTGCTCGCCGCACATCGGCGTCCAGCCTCTCTTCGCTGTGCCTGCTCGCCCTACTCATGCGCCGTCCACTCGCACTGCTCGCTGCCGTCAATTCCTGCCCTCCACGCCGCTTTCCCCACCACGCAACGCCCCTCTTGCCAACTCCGCTCTTCCTCCTTCCACCGTTTCCTGTTATCCCCCCATCCCCCCCTCGCGCGTGTTCCTCCCCCCGCGCGCCCCGCAGTGGTGGGCATGATCAAGCTGGCGCTGGAGGCGGGCAAGGCGACGCCGGCGCCGCCGGTGGGGCCGGCGCTGGGAGCGAAGGGGGTGAACATCATGATGTTCTGCAAGGAGTACAACGCCAAGACGGCCGACAAGGCCGGCTACGTCATCCCCGTCGAAATCACCGTCTTCGACGTCCGTGCCCCGCCAATCACCGCCTCGCTGCTGCGTGCCCTGCATGGGCATGGCATGGCATGGCATGGCATGGCATGGCATGGCATGGCATGGCATGGCATGGCATGGCATGGCATGGCCTGGGCATGGCATGGGCATGGCATGGAATTGCGTGACGTGGCATGGCATGGCATGGCATGGAATGGCGTGACGTGGCATGTCATGGCATGGCGTGGCGTGGCGTGGCATGGCATGGCATGGCATGGCGTGGCGTGGCGTGACGTAGCATGGCATGGCATGGCGTGGCGTGGCGTGACGTAGCATGGCATGGCATGGCATGGCGTGGCGTTACGTGGCATGGCATGGGATAGTATGGCATGCCATGGTGATATGCTGCATATCGGAGCATTGACATGCGTTCGGCCCCCATGTTTTCACATGTGGTATCCATGCTCCATCTTGCCTGCGGTTGCCTCTTCTCTTCATGCCGTCCCTATCCCTGTCCACCCTCCTTTCCCCATCGCCACCTTCCCCATCACCCTCATCGCGGGCATCACGGCCATCAGGACAAGAGCTTCACGTTTGTGCTCAAGACACCGCCGGCCTCGGTTCTCCTGCTCAAGGCCGCTGGTATGAGCTCAAACTGTGCTTGGAGTCTTTCTCTGCAGCCTTTCCTTTCTCTGCAACCTTTCCTTTCTCTGCATTCACGCCCACAATCGTTCGATCCCCCCAAACCCCTCATAACAACTTTTTTCCCTGTTCCCCCCCTCCACTCTCTCCCCCCTTTTCTTCCTCATTCTCTCTCTCTCTCTCTCTCTCTCTCTCTCTCTCTCTCTCTCTCTCTCTTTCTCCCTCTCTCTCTCTCCCTCCTTCCCTCCTCCCTCTTCCCTCCCTCCATCCCCCCTCGCTCCTTTCCCGTCTCCCTCTCCACTCCGCTTCCCTCCCCACTCAACCCCCGTCATTTCTCCCCCACTCCACTTTGTCTCTGCCATGGCGCCCGCACCCCCATCCCCACGTCACCCACCGTGGCAGGGGCAGCGCGGGGCTCAGCAAACCCCGGGAAGGAGAAGGTGGGGAAGGTGACGGTGGAGCAGGTGAGGGAGATCGCCACGGAGAAGCTGCCGGACCTCAACTGCACCACCGTGGACGCCGCCATGCGCATCATCGCCGGCACCGCCGCCAACATGGGCATCGATGTTGTGCCGCCCATTCTGGAGAAGAAGCAGAAGGTGGTGCTCTGAGCGTTGCGCGTGGCGGGGAAGGGGTGCAGGAGTGGCTTAACATGCGACGGCGTTACGTGGCCTTGTTTTTGCAGGAAGTGCGGAGAGTTAGTGAATGAGAATAGAATAACATGCACACAAGTTCCCTCCCTGTATGTGGCGTGTATCTGTGTTTCTGTCTGATGATCCTATGTAGAAAATGTTGCTATCAGGGCCTCAGATTCGTTTTTAGCTTGGCTGATACGTCAGCCTTACCAGCCTACGTTAAGCTGATCAATCAGAGTTGGTTATAACAAAAAAAGTGAAATTTCAGACAAGTAAAAAAAAAAAACGCTGACTAATCAGCCTCACTTGAAACACGCAGGCTGAACTATGTTGAGCACTTTGTTCATTAAAACCCGAAGCCTGAATTACATATCTGAGTCAACGCTAGGTTCGGGTTGGGTTCGGTTTGGTTTGGGTGAGTTTGTAAGAATCGCGAAAGTTGCGAGCAAGCGAAAACAAAAGGCGACATCCTGAGGACTGGAGCAGAGTAAGAAAATCTGTGCGACAGAACAACTAACAACTCATTCACTCGCTTTTAGAATCCGACCATCACACACCAGCTAGGGTTTTTTAGTGAACACATCGTATACAACCTGAAATAGTAGGTGCCACGCGTATATGCAATTGAAAGGAAACACAGGCGCAAGACGCGAGTGTCAAGCACGGAAAAAATGGGCGTGAGGAGATGAGACTTTAGCACTTTGCCGACCTCGCGACCCTCGACCGTCGCCCATGCTGTCTCCGCCCACCGCCCACACCTCGCCCGTCGCTCTCGCCGCCCCCCTGCCCGTCGCCCTCGCTTCCTCCGCCCGTCGCCCTCGCTTTCCCCCGCCCTTCCCATCGCTTACCCCTCCCGTTGCCTTCGCTTCCCCCGCCCGTTGCCTTCGCTTCCCCCGCCCGTCACCCTCGCTTCCCCTCCCCATCGCTCGCCCCGTCAACCTCTGCTCTCCCACCTGTCGCTGCGTCGGCGTCGTTCTCATTCCCGCCGCCGACTCTTCGTCGAGTCTCCATCTTATTCGCCCTCTCATCCTTTCCCCGTCGCCCATGCCTACTCCCCTCTCTCGCGCCGACGCCCTGGTTTTTCACCCCGCCGCCTTCTCTCCGCTTCCCATTCGTTCACCTATTGTCCCTTTAATAGCTGCTGCTTTGATCTTGCGGAGGCCACTTTCCCCCTTCTCTCTCCGTTTTCAGTCGCATCATCTCCCAATCCGCCCACGTCGCAACGATGATTCTAATTCATGTCTTTCTCGCTGCTCAGTTTCTACCCCATTTTGCGCTCAGTTCCCCCCTCTCAGACTACACTCAGTTCCCCCCCTTGATTGCGCTCAGTTCCCAGCCTTGATTGCGCTCAGTTTCCCCCGATGATTGCGCTCCGTTTCCCCCCCATAATTGCGCTCAGTTTCCCCCCATGATTGCGCTCAGTTTCCCCCCCTGATTGCGCTCAGTTTCCCCCCCTGATTGCGCTCAGTTTCCCCCCATGATTGCGCTCAGTTTCCCCCCCTGATTGCGCTCAGTTTCCCCCCCTGACTGCGCTCAGTTTCCCCCCCTGATTGCGCTCAGTTTCCCCCCCTGATTGCGCTCAGTTCCCCCCCGTGATTGCGCTCAGTTTCCCCCCCTGATTGCGCTCAGGTTCCCCTCTGATTGCGCTCAGTTTCTCCCCTTGATTGCGCCCAGTTCCCCCCCCTGTTTCCCCCCCTGGTTCCCCTGTTTCCCCCCCCTGGTTCCCCTGTTTCCCCCCCTGGTTCCCCTGTTCCCCCCCCTTGGTTCCACTGTTTCCCCCCCCTGGTTCCCCTGTTCCCCCCCCCTTGGTTCCACTGTTCCCCCCCCTTGGTTCCACTGTTTCCCCCCCCTGGTTCCTCTGTTCCCCCCCCTGTTCCCCCCCCCTGGTTCCCCTGTTCCCCCCCCTTCTTGCCTTCCACGCTGTCTAGGCCAGCATCCTTCCCGCCTGCCCTCTTCTCCCTGTTCCTCTATCTTCGTACCGCTTCCTCTTCTTCTTACTGTCTCGTCAAGCCCGACTGTCCTCCTCTCTCCCCCCTGTCCTCCTCTCTCCCCCCTGTCCTCCTCTCTCCCCCCTATCCTCCTCTCTCCCCCCTGTCCTCCTCTCTCCCCCCTGTCCTCCTCTCTCCCCCTTGTCCTCCTCTCTCCCCCCTGTCCTCCTCTCTCCCCCCTGTCCTCCTCTCCCCCCCCCTGTCCTCCTCTCTCCCCCCTGTCCTCCTCTCTCCCCCCTGTCCTCCTCTCTCCCCTCTGTCCTCCTCTCCCCCCCCTGTCCTCCTCTCCCCCCCCTGTCCTCCTCTCTCCCCACTGTCCTCCTCTCTCCCCCCTTTCCTCTGTTGGGAACAAACAATCTTAAGCGCCTCTGTCGTGTCGAAACACCAAGGCACAAGCGAAGCAGAGCATATCGAGGCACCAGCGAGTCAACCCTCGGAGGTTGAAGTAACCGCTGGAGGTTACGCGAAAGTCAAAGGTCAGCGACCTTTGACTTGACAAATGCAGCGCGACAGCAAGGACACACAACTGACTCGACATTGAGCAGTTGCCCGAGTCGCACTGTATCGAACCGCAACAGTAAAACAGTTTAATTATATCTCTTCGTATTCTTTGTACTCTTATATAAACCTTTGTACTTGCTTGTTTTAATCAACTTACTTTGCCCTCACATACCAGCGCAAGGTGGTTCAAGGACTTCATTTAAACGCTTCCGCTACTACATCACTCTACCCAGAGTTTAACCCTACCAAAGATCCTAAGGGGCACTCAGCCCAACATGGTATGAGAGCTGGTTAGGGTTAAAATTATTTCTCCTTAACACCTAATACACCAAGAGACATGTCTACCAGAAAGGAGAGGAGCTCCTCCAACGGCTCTCCTGGTACTACTCCTACTCCACCTCCTGCCTCTGGCCTACAGACAGAGGAAGGCACAACAACGAGACCGGCAGCTGGGTCTACTGAAACACCCGCAAACCAAGGCGCGGGCTTCGATCCAAGCATGATGGAGAAGTTCTTCTCCTTCATGTCCTTCTACGAGCAGCATCAGCAAGGAGCACCTGCGCAATCAAACAACAGCAACAACAACAACAACGTGACGCCCATGAGTCTCGATGGCTCATCCTACGCACGCGGGAATCAACAACAGCAACCTACCTTCGCTCCGTACGAGCCCCAGCGCGGCTCCGTCAGCTTCATGCCACAACCACAACCTGCACCGGGACAAGAGAGAACGCTGGACGCACTACAAGTTCAGTCGCAGTTCGCGCACGTTCTAAAACTGCAAACGACAAAACCCTTCGACGGGAAGGATTTCTTTACCTGGTCGTTCGAATTCGAGCTGATGATGGAAGGAGCGCAAATCCTTGGCTTCTTCGACGGGTCCCTGCCATACCCAACAAACGGCACACAGTATGAGAAGCAGCAGTACACCTATCAATCGATGATGGCGTACACGATACTACTGAGGAACATCACTCCAACTCAACAACAAAACATACGGTCTTACCGAGGCTACGGCAACTCCGCGGAGCTCGCGTACAATCACTTGAAGAGCCTGTATCAAGCAACAGACAGCGTAAACCAAAGTCGGTTAATGGCGCAGCTGACAACAATCGAAATGAAACCAGGCGAGAAGGGAATGGCGTATATCAGTCGCTGCCGCGAGCTGCGCGACAAGCTTCTTCGATGTGGAGGATCGATTTCAGAGGACGCCTTCGTCACGGTTGTCATCGGCGGTCTTGGTCCTCACTGGCGCTCCACTCGCGCCATACTACGAGCCCACGGGAAAATTTATGAAGCAGCACTTTGCGCCGAAATCCACGCCGAGCAGCAAGACATGGACCTGCAAGAAGAACGACACAAGAGAAAGGTATCAGTGCCCGAATTCGCGTTTCACACTCAACATCGCCACAACAACAACAACAATCGACCGAAAATCGTACCTCCGTTCTGCCACCTCTGCAAGACTTCAGGGCATCCTCGTACGCACTGCCCGAATCGACAACAGTCAACGTCGCCGCAACGCCAACTTCGCCCTTCAAGCAGTCAAGTCGCCTCAACGCAAGCAAATCCGACAACTTCAGTACAAGTCTCAACAACATCGACGGGACAACCTGCGAAAGGAACAAGAAACATCGTCAGCTGCATGGCAAGGCTGAGTGACTCCTGCGTAACTGAGTCACCACCATATTACTCACCAGAAGAACAACTCGACAACAGCACGCCTCGCCGCGAGTCACTTCAACCGAACCCGACGTACGCCGCCATCGCTCAAAGCGAGCCGTCCGGGAAGGATACATGGTTCTTGGACAGTTGCTGCGGACAACATATGTGCTCTTCAGGACGTTTCGTTCAACGCGAGCACCAACTTCAACGAGAAGTCGTCATCACTGTCGCCAATAATCAGAACCTGCGCACACGACGACAAGGAGTAGTGCAACTTCAGTCACGAGAGACGAATGTCATACTGCAAATGTCCAAAGTCCTAATAGCAGAAGGACTTGGCTACAACTTACTGAGCGTCAGTCAGTTGATGGCGAAAGGCATACATCTGGAAGCCGACAGTACCACCCAGGAGTTCAAGCTGTACCACGAGAAGGGCGGCCTCTACATCGGAAAGGCGGTCCTGAAGAACAATGTCTTCGTTCTCGATTTCGTCCCAGACCTGGGCACCGCAGACAGTGACGGGATCGTCACCTTCACATCTTGGACGCACCCGCCGGATCTCGACCCCGACTTCAGTCCGGAAGGCTTTTGGTATTCACATACCATTCCTGAAGCAGAACGAACACGTGCGTTAGTAACAATACAACATTCGGCAGCAGCAGAGACAACATCGGCAGCAACAGAGACAACATCGGCAGCAGCAGGGACAACATCGGCAGCAACAGAGACAACATCGGCAGCAGCAGAGACAACATCGGCAGCAGCAGAGACAACACCGGCAGCAGCAGAGACAACATCGGCAGCAGCAGAGACAACATCGGCAGCAGCAGAGACATCATCGGCAGCAGCAGAGACATCATCAGCAGTAGCAGGAACAACAACAGTAGCAGCAACAACGACACCACTCCTCGTTGACGAAGCACCACCAACACCCGCACAGCAGCTGAATCCGGCTCAACGGGAAGTCCATAGAAGCGCAAACTTCACCGCCAGCTTCTACTCCAACTCCGACGCGTATCGACGCTCACCCGGACACCGCGCCTCCGAAGACATCTGGCACGCACGCATGGGACACCCAAGCAACACTGTGTTAAACAACACAATAAGAGCAGGAGTCCTTGACAAGGACTCGTTACTACTACTCGACGGCAGAGAACTTCAACGGGCACGAGGAACATGTCTTACCTGCCCCGAAGCCGACTTACCACATCGGCCGTTCACTCCTCATCACAACCCGAGCACACCCGCGTACACACCACTCGAAAAGGTGTATAGCGACATCCTGTACAATCGGGAACCAGGACAAGTAATATACAACTACACAATCACCTTCATCGACGCCGCCACCCGTTACGTCTGGCATCTAAACCTACCCAGCCGCGACATGGTTCTCGAAGCATTCGCTGCTTGGCTACCAGTAGCAGAAAGAGAGTCGGGCGTAAAGCTGAAAAGCTTCCAGTCTGACGGAGGAGGAGAATACACCTCTCAGCGATTCAAGCAGTACCTGGCGGAAAGGGGAATCAAGCAGCTCCTCTCTCTTCCCTACGCCCATCAGCAGCAAGGTGTAGCAGAAAGAATGAACAGGACTCTGCAGAACAGCATGCGCAAACTGTTGCGTGGCATGCGGCTACCCAACCACCAGTGGCCTGACGTGATGGACCACGCTGTCATGCTGCACAACTTGCTCTCATCTTCATCACTACCGAACAACGCATCACCGCATCTGCTGTGGACAGGAAAACAGGGCAGCACAAAAATGTTACGAGTGTTCGGATGCATGGTACAGTACCGACCCCCAGCAGCACGAGCGGGCCGATTTTCACAACGCGCACAGTGGGGACTACACCTCGGCATCGAAAAAAACTACAACGCGTGGAAAATCTTTGACGTCCACTCCAAGGAAACAGTAGCAGCACACGGCGTCATTTTCTACGAACGACTCACGCTCCAGACATACCTTGCCAACCTGCAAGAGGACCAAGATCCCACAGGTGGTTTTCGTGGTGACCGAGCCTTCGCCTCGGCAGCAGACGAAGCTGACTGGGACGAGCAGAATGTGGCCAACGCATCAGAAGAAGCTGGACCCCTTCCGTTCTGCTCCGTCGACGTCCCCATGGACGAAGATAACCCTCGCGAAAGTGTCAACGCCGAAACCTTCTACTACTTCGCCGACAACGGTTACGTAACACCTGCGACAGTCAACACCAACGAAGCAGAACGAGTAGGACCGAATTTCATACCTGATCCAGAAGCGGGAGATGAAGCAGCTTATCCCGAGGATGCAACTCTTCCCCGCTACTCACAGACTGGACTGCAGATTCTCGGACTCGTCACCGCAGTCCACGGCAACACTCTTCCTAAGGAGCCTGCGACGGTTCAGCAGGCTCTGGGGGGGGAACACAGGGAAAAATGGCGTGAAGCCATGGACAGAGAGTTAAAGGCGCTGGAGGAACGGAACACCTGGAAAGTTGTCCCCATCAGCGTGGCAAGGAACAAGACCATTCTCACCGGGAAATGGGTCTTCCGCGTTAAAACAAAAGCAGACGGCACAATTGAGAAGTTCAAAGCACGCTGGGTTGTGCGTGGATTCGATCAGGAGCACGGACGGGACTTCACCGAGACATTCGCCCCGGTTAGCCGACATACCTCACTTCGAATCCTCCTCGCGATCGCCGCCATGAAGAAAAGGAAGCTACGGCAAATCGATGTCGCCAACGCGTTCCTCTACGCACCTGTCGACGTGGACCCACACGGTACCAACGGGGAACCTAACCAAGTCTGTCAACTGCTGAAATCACTTTACGGGATCAAGCAAGCTCCGCGGCTATGGCAACAGTACCTACACGCTCGCCTCATTCGCATCGGATTCCGCCAACTACCTCACGACCAAGGAATGCACCGACTCACTAAAGACACCGACTACATTCTGCTGATCGTCTACGTAGACGACCTACTCTACATCGGCTCCACTGACGACATCACCACCTGGTTCGAAGGGGAGCTACAGAGGGACCTCACACTCACGGTCTCCTCTACCGTCACACAGTACCTCGGCTTGAACATTCGGGAAGAAGAAGGCGCGATCTACCTCAACGCCGCTAAGTACGCCGACACCATCGCCAAACGCTTCGCGCTCACACCTACCACCATCTCTACGCCCTACCGCTACGCGACAGGAAACCACAAGGAAGGATCC